TTTGAAGGACACAGCCGCTAAACTGGATCCCTGCTGACTGGATGACCGTGACCGGTGGCGTGATCCTCTGGGGTCACATCCAGGTCTGCTGCTGTCCCCGAGTGACCCCCACCCAACCCCCCTTGACAGATTTAATGTTCCGCCCCTTGAGTCAAGATCCCATCGATTCCAACTCATAACTCACCATTTCCAACAACTCATATAGGATTTGGAGAACAATCCCATGATGGAATCCTGGAGTAAAGACATAGGTACCTGCTCATTCTGCAAGTCTAACGCCAATGACGAGATGATTAGTGCTGGCCATCAGTGCCACCTAGATAGCATTAGCTAGAGGTCTATATGACCTGCAGCTCCTCTTTCTCTTCCCAAAGACCTCTCCTGCACCTCCTTCCCTCCTATTCTTGACATCTCTTTCCCCCAGGAGCAGATAGTTGACACTCCCCATTTTCTAATGGACATTCCCAAGGTCCAGACCCCACCCTCGCCCCCACCCCGGTCTAGGAATGCACTGACATGCTCTCGCTGCACATATGGCAGGCCGGCTGCACCCTGCTCCTTCAGCCCTCCCGGAAGAACCGGCGTGGGCGTACTCCGTGGGACCAAATACACCCAAAAGAACAAGGACAAATCAGCCAGCAAAACGAAACAGGATGCATCAGACTCATTCGAAAACTGTTAAACCACCGAATGGCTAACACAGTATCAGGAACGGATTGTTCTGGAGGAACCTGCTATGTAAACAGATGATCTCAACCACTGCAGCCTGGGAATCAGAAACTAATTCCTCAGAGGCTGGACGTTATAGAGGTAAATACAAACTGTCACAAACTGAAGGGTGTGGGCGTGGCCTGGACCAGCAAGACGTAAACATGAGGCATAGCGTGTTTGCGATGGTGTCGAGTCCACAGGGGAAATGACACGAGAATCGGCCCTCATCCGAGGGGCATTAATGAGGGCGATGCGTCTTAAAACGGCCCCACAGCAAACGCTGCAACTATGCTAATGCTAATTGTCTTATTAGATTTTTGCTTTCTGTGGATCATGCTGTGTAGCTCTTGTTCCATTCACTGGAAGCTCAGCCCAGCTGCACTTATGCCTAGTCGGCTCGTCGACAGCCGTGTGTTTGTAATGCGCTTTTTGTTTAACTTGTATGGCCCTAAATGTTGGCTGACTCTGAGCTGTAACCCCCAGGCTATGGAGAGCAAGACGGTGTAGGTGAAGAGAAGCATTCCAATGTACCTGTACTTGTTCTTGTGCAAATGGAAAATAAAGGATTTATCATTAAAGTCAATGCAATCCAGAACTAGGATAATAGTCTTGTGGAAATTCGGGTGCGGCCTGGGTTGGCACTGAGCATCCTGATGATGGACCCTGGCAAGCATTCGAGTGACAAGACAGACTGTACCCTGTCTCTCCTGACCCCTACGAGAGGAGTCTAAGGACGGAGCTCAGGCAGGGAGCTGAGGGGCGAGGGAGGAGGTCCATCTGCATGCGATTCCTCTTCCGTTTCCAAACCTGAACCTTGCTGGTGATGACAGACTAGGGTGGAGGATGTTTGGAGAGGACAGAACTCTCTTAGGGTCTCATAAAGGTAACACGCAGCATATGGATGCTGGGTACTGTCCTGACTACATAAAAAATGTTAAAATAACACCGAAACCCAGCCATAATTTGACCATTTATGGGACTGTCTGTACAAAACGCCTCACATCTGAAGTACAGCTCACGTTCAATCAGTCTGTGGCTAGAAAAAATAGCGTCCGAACTTCAGGCTGATAGGAGTAAGCAGAGAGGACCCACATCTGATGGATAAATACTTACCACAAGGCTTGTTTTGACAGTGGCATTCTCAGCTACTTAATTAAACAACGTCATGAGCAAAATAATCCCAGAATCTTTATGTGTCAGACATGCGAGCAGACAAAAACAAGATTCATCATCGTCTGCTCTTTCAAACGACTTCGCTTGCCTCCATTATGGAAGTCCCTCTAACAGTCACTCTGCTGGCTTCTTATAAAACCACTGGATTACTTGTCCAGCCTGGAATGCCCAGTCATACTAATACTATGCATGAATGTCCAATTCCTCGCATCCGATTGGTTGACGCACCAACCCAGAAATAAACCAATCAGATTCCTTTGATCCAACAATATGATCCGAACCAGATCAGTAAGAAGCAATGTTGCTTCACATCTCCAGGATTTGGAGTGTGAATCCCACCTTATCATTGTGTCAGCCAGTTCTTGGAGCAATTGGGGGTTAAGGGGGCTACTCAAGAGCCCAATGATAAAATCACTCAGGCAAATGCAGGATTTGATCAAGGAACCACATGACATGAGGAATAGCATTCTAACGCACTATGCCACCCAACACAAGCTAACAAGAATCACACATAAATGCTTAAATACTGTCTGTTATGTGCCAGGGAAGGGAAAACCCAGCAGAGCGGCTCGTCCCAGCAATTTTAGGGGTCATCTTATCGTGCTGGTGACCGCTGTGGGGGGACGCCCGACCTCATGACAGATCAGGTGGCAGTTGTGGGGGGGGGGGGACTGGAACAGATTGCGACGGGGATATTAACAGAAAAAGGATTCTGTTTTCCGGAAGCAACTCTGTCTGGGCTGAACGGAAGGTCAGAATTTTTCTGAAGGCTCCTGAAGGACTGGATGACAATCAGGACAGGGGCATGTGACAACCCTGGGGGGTCTGCGGAGGGGGCAACTGATGATGGCGCTGGGGGGAGGGGGGCTTTTGATGGTGGTCTGATTCTGTCATTACAGCCCATCCTGACAGAAGCCTGTTTCTGGGAGCAACCCCCCCATATATCAGATTAGCAAACCTATATAATATTGAGGGGGGGGGGGGCTAGCAGAGATTAGGTCTCACATGCAGCCTGGCGGAGCCCACAGCAATTACATGCTGCTAATCGCCACTGTCGCTGTCAAGGGCAGAAAAGCCCCCTTTCTGTGGGAAGCCCACACCCCCCCCCCACCGACCCCACCCCCTGCCTTTGAGGTATGTCGTTTTTTTCCCTCTGGGTTGCATCACATCTGGGAATCAGGTTGCCTGGCGATGGCTGAAGATTAGAGGCTGGGAAGACGTCAGGAGATATGGCTTCTAACAATAAGAGTGCTTGGAGGGGTTGGGGGGGGGTTGCAATTTTGGGTCTTTGTTCATTTGCCTTTGATTGAAGTCCCATGACTCGTCAATTGATAATAATCCAATAAATTATCCAATGATGTGGACTTAGCCCAAGGTGTGAGCTCCAATTACCATCAGCGTGACCTCAGCTTTCAGGGACTGGAAGGAGACAAAGCACGGTCCCCCCCCCCCCCCCAATCACCAGCTGAGGAAAACTAGGTATTTTATGGGGTGTTTTTACTTCTCCTTTGTGTCACTCTTACTACCCACTAAGCAAACGCCATGCTTCATAAAGGTCAGGTCCCACACATCTCAGGAACCAGCTGTACATGGCCAAACTTACAAAGACGCCATCAAATCTTGAAAGCTCAGCCACTGAGAACCAAAATACCCACAATTATCCAACTAGAGCCAGTATTCTCATATAAAAAGACTACATTTGGTCAAATATGAAGATTATGAATAAGGTTGTAATAATATTTTAACAAAATGAAATATAAACAAAACGATATGTTTCAAAATTAGCTTAGATAATGTTCTCAGCTGTATGCTCAGAGATCATCAAAGAGAGAGTGAGAGAAAAAGAATTATAAAGCCAAAATGATACATGTGATATGTTTTGGATGATGTCAGAAAACAGGAAAAGATAACAATAAAAAGCGGAAGAGAAACTCATCAGCAGATCGCTTTAGACGCTTTTGAAACTTGAAGTACTGAGCGATTAGCCGCCGTGTGGCATTAGGATAAGCAGCACCATCGAGTCATAGTCAGGGATCTCGGCGTCATTTTACGGATGTTTAAACCCAGAGCTCTTGACTGCGATCGGACTTTCCGTAAGAAGCTTTGCCAATCAACTCCACCGCCCCGCATTTGACTCTGGCATTTATAAAAGACCAGATATTACGAACACACGCCCCTGTGAAGCCGTGATTAAAGTTACCACCCACCCCAAAATGTACGGGCAGCGGTGGCCAGATTTGAAGGCACATCTGTACATCAGACAGTAATCTGATTGATAGCAAACTGTGCCATTCATCCCGAAGTGTCTCGAACTTCTGGCATGACTTAAAGATTAGGGGATTTTTCGAGGTTCTCGGAGCGCTGAATTTCCTGCATCCTTACAAAGCAGCCCGAACCATAGTTACACAGTGCATACGGAGTGTACCGTGAAGTACGGGTGATGTGCAGGGTAATCTGCGTACTGCGCCCTTAAACTGACAAGTACTCATATATATCAGTGGGAAAGGATGGGGGGAGGAACAGGAGGGGGGGGGGGGGGGTAAGGCGTTTAAAATGACGGACGGGGCGCTCTGAAAAGGTGAAGACCTCGCCCTCCCCAGGATCACACAAACAGGGAGAAAACGCTATATCATTATTTTCCAAGATGGGAACAAAGGGTACAAAATATCACACTGCATCGTGTGTGGGATTAAGGATCATTGCATGACAAAGAAGCGTGCCATCAAAACGGTATCTTTGAACATGTTCGCCCCCCCCCCCCACACACACACAAACCAGGGTCATCGTTCAACAAAGCTTTATCTCCCTGCCGGGGGAATACATATAGGTCTCCGCGCAGTGACATGTGCGTTTAAATGCCAGTAATGCGTCTAAGCACTGCAGTCATTGTCCGAGGAACGGTCTCCGAAGACGCGTGGCTGTAGGGACGGGAGGTTAGTTCAGGGATGGGGGGGTTGAGGATGCTGCAACTGGTCAGAGGGGATCGACGCGCAAAGCGCTAACACGCAGCCATCGTTGTGAAGCCATCAGACGCAATGCAATCGGGATCTGTCGGGGAAACACCTTCACGCCTGCCCCCCACCCCAGACACGATGCAGCACGAAATCCCCCCTTACCAGTCGGTGGAACACGTCTCGCTGATCACATCTTGGTAAGCTGTAAGGAGGGCCAGTCTATTCTTACTGAGGTTCACAGCCATGTTGCCGTCCTAGCAATCATCCAGACCGGTGTGAAGCCGAGTAGAGGAGATGGGTGGAGGAGGGAGTGGAGCGCTACTGAGGATGAAACAAAGGGACTGAAGCTTTTCTGTGGCGGAGCCGGCGAGCTGCGTGGTCCGAGAGCTCCGTTGGGAGCCCGCAGGGTCCTAATGCCGTGCTGTGCACTGTTATCCAGCAACGGGACTGACACTGAACAGACACCGCTGTAAGGTCTGTGAGCTTACAGTCGGCGGGCGGGGGTATTACTGCCCCACTTTCAAAAAGATGTCACCCCCCACACATTTGTTTGCCCCTATGAAACATCAATCTCCCCAAGCGTAGTTTTGATTTAAGACGTCTGCTCTTTGAATCAGTATCCAAGTGTAATTTATGGGGGGAAAAATATCACATGAAGTTGCTTTTAAAAGAACGAAATCCTTTGTTTTGTTGGTTGCCAAACACCATTAAACAAAAGCGGAGGATGTTTACAGCAAGCTGCCTGCTTAGCATCGCAACTTGTGATACTCTCTGCCACGCGCGAAATCACGGCAAGGCGCCAGTGCGCCACAGCTCATTGACTTAAGTGATGTTTGTTTTTCAACCAGCCGAGAGATTTGGAACTAGAATATAAATCCATTCACTCATACTCATATATAACGGTGGAGAAAGAACCAGTTAGGTCTATTGGGATATGAATGAATGCCTGAATAAATTAAGCAACTCCGATGCTGTGTCGGGGGACTCTTGTCTAGGATTGGCCGAGACACACCATGTGACAAGTCTGGACTAAACAAGGGAGTTAAAACTAAAGGCTCCAGTGGTGACATCATTGGGCGAATGGCAATTATGCACAACCTGACAACACGGATTTGTATGTTCACGGCGTGGCGCTGTGGAGTCTCGTAGTCCCAAGCGTGGATGATCCATTAATCTTTCGGCGTTCACTGGTGACCGGGAGGTTATCCCGGGAAGGCCAAGGCAGGGCATGAGATTCCTGGGACATTGGTCTGGCACAGTTACCCAATCAATTATGTGGCTTTTGACCTGGGGGAGGGAGAATGCAGAGATATACCTTGTAGTCTCAGCGGACTGGATTCAAACCGAAAGACTAGACCTGAGGCGTGAGGTCACCATACCACCCGCCGACTGGCCCCCGACTCCCGAATGCGGCCCCCAGCCACGCCGGCAGCATCTCAGCCACGTTCTTGGCAGAGAGGTGCCAGCACCATAATTAGCATGCCGGTCCTGGCTGAGATCTGGCATAGCAGACGGGCCGTCGGCACCGGGGTGGGGGGGGGTGACCCTTCTCCGCTGCCCCTTTAAGTGGCAGACGGCCCAAAAGGCTCCTGGCTGGCCACGCCTCCCCGGTCTCGGCAAAATGCGGCATGATGGGTCGCCAGTCCTGTGTGCCAGAGACCCCACGGCAGACTGGAAAGGTATGGGAGGGGCTGGATTGCTGAAACGGGCAGGGACTGGGAGGGGACTTGTGCGTGTCGGCCCCCCTGAAAAAAAGCACACCATCTGCATCCCGTCCAATAAGAAGAGTCCACACTAAGTCATGAATATCAAACGACTGAGTATGCCATAACAATGTATGAATTTTACCTTCTACTCCACATCCTAATGAATGGATCTATCAAAATCCACTGAATCAGTAAAGTGGGGTGTTTTTTGGGGGGGATGGAGTGTACAAGGTCAAGTTGTACAAGGAAGGTGGTGGGTGGGGTGACATATTTTTTTCAGGGGGCCCAGAATTTCTAGCTACACCCCAGCCCCCCCCAAGCACTGTCCCCTATGCTGCGACCGGAACCTTCCGAACTGGCAGCCAATAATTAATCACACTCATCCCGCATGAAGCAGAACGCCGACGGCTGAACATACTCGGGGCTGGGACTCGCCCTCTCTAAGCAGCATGAGGGAGAAACTCCAGTTTGAAACTGGGCACCAGCCCAGCCTCAGCCCATCCATTCACTCGATGGGTTTGATCAACCGAGTCCCCCCCCCCCCCCCCCCTTTGTTTTAGCATCACGGGTATGGCTGACAGGCCTTTATGCACTTTTCTGGGTGATTAGCCAGCAGAAAACCAAAAGAGCAGTGCTAGCATTGCTTCAGCTTAATACACTTACAGACGAGGCCAAGGAGAAATGGAAAGAGAGAGAAAGATTTACAGTTTTGGCTCAGAAGAGGCTGAATTTGTGTGTCCGAGTACTGCTCAAGTAAGGAAAGATTCACCGGGATGTCCCTGATAGGCTGGAACTACACGGTGCCCGCATGTGATTGGCCGCAGAGGCCGACGAACCCCTCCATTTCACACCTTTGGCACAAAGAGCAAACAGGCAGCTGATTGGCCAATAAAGTATGAAGTGCCATGAATGAAACACCTATTGTAAATCCCACAGAAGCAGCCATGAGTTTAACAAGGCAGCCCTTTTCCAAAAATCGGTTCCAAACACTAGGGAAATGGTCAAGGGCTTATAGAAACCAAAAAAGAAAGCTGAATAGAAAAATAAACTGAAAATGCTTGTGCAACAAGACTTCCGTAGGATGAGAAGATGGAACATTCTGAGTGAAAACAATGCCTGTCCGTTCCTAAATGTTCAAATGCAAAAGTTTCAGTTATGAAGTGTACACTTGTGCATGTATTTGGTGGATGTTTGCTTAAGTATTTACAACCTTTCCTGACTCGTATTACCATTTTAGTCATTTGCATTTAAACAAAAACAATGGAAATCACAAAACTGAAGTTTTTAACGACCATACCTCTCAAGAGCTTAGACAAGACTCAAAACGGCTTGATTTCCTTGCCTCAAATCCCAGTCTATGCAAAATGAACGCTAAATTAAATGGCAGATTTTCCAAAAAAGTAACTCTGTCTCCCCCTACAGGACATAAATGCGACTGCGGGTCACGTTGTCTGCATATTAGGTGCAATTGAACCAATAATTTCGTAAACACATTTTATTTAAAAGGAGGAAAAATGAAAGTGAACAGATAAAATTTTAATATAAATATACAGTGTTAATGCACATAAAAATAACCACCTTTTAACAAAATTTTAAACGTTGAAGACTGTTACATATTGCATAACCGTGGGCCCGCGAATCCAACGAACTCTGGCGAGTCTTTGTCTGTACAAGAAAGGAATGTAGGCGAAAGGGGAACATACTGATACACAGGTTTAGAGAGATGCAGATCGTCCAAAATTAGTGTCTGTTGTTCAAGTAGTGAAAAATAATCGCGTAAAAAAAAAAAACACGTATACTGTAACACACCTCGGCTTTTGAATCCACCTGGCTTGTTTTGACCTGGTACTATTAAATCTATACCATAACTCAGTTTTATATCCCACTGACTAACGCACACGAGCCTACTTTCAATCACATGCATAACTGAACGTAAAAGGACGATTAAAAAAAAAACACCAAAAGGCTACAACTTGAAATATTAAATAAAAAGTTTAAATACAAAAAAACCATAAAATAAAATCACACAATAAGAAATAGTTCATGAGCAGAAAAGGAAAAAGGTATGGCATTTAAATCAAACTCTTGAATAACTCCTATTTAAAAATTACCGTAAAGTAGTACGTTACTTCAAAATAATAATTATACACATTAAGCAGTATGTCTACCTTCAAGCCTCCGCTAGCATGTTAGCGGAGCCTGTATAGTCAAATGGCATTCTTAACGTTAGGCTGTAAACCATAATTGCTGCGGCTGAGTTTGCCTCGCGGTCGGACCGCACACAAGCTCGGAGTCATAACGGCCCCCCTCCACCGCACGAAAAGGAGCGTACGTGCCAGGATGGCGTGAAGGGAATAAATATTTAAGTGCGCAAAACTCAATGAAGAATAAATAAGTTACGTTAAGTTACGCATTTCACCATTGTCAACTTCGTGGCAATCAGCAGAACGTGGCCTTAAAATATAACCAATAAATAACGGTTATAAATACAAATGTTTATGATCAGCATGCGGGAGAGCAGCAGTGTTGTACGGAGTCGTTAATAAAAATTAAAAAAAAGACACGACCCAATCTGTGCTTAATCGTGAAACAGAAATTGAGATGCAAGGAGCTTACAGATCTTGTGTGAGTAGTTGTGGTTGGGCTGGTTAGTTGCCCTCAACTCAAACCATAAAATGTCCTTACAGCAGGATGCAAGTTATGTGAAGAAACGGCAAATGTATCACCAAATATCGAGGCAGCCCACCTTTATCTGTTCCGGCCCCACACGTGAGTACAGACGGCCCTGGGGGCAACCTAAATTGGAAATAACGATCTGGGCCACAGACAAATTTATACAGTGATGTTATTTTTTTTTTTTTAAAAAGAGTAACCCTTACAGGAGAAAGAGGAACCTTAATGAACGAGGCGCTTTGTGTCAGGGCCAACTCACTGTCAAGCAGGAGAGTTAAACAATGAACGGTACAGCAAAGGCTAGCCATGGGTGGCACGGCGGTGAAAGGCTGCAGCCTTGTTCCCGGTAGGTTACTGGTTCAAGTCCCAGGAAGGGCTTCAGTAACTGTGAGGAAGAATCTTGAAACCTGAATCGCAATAGTATAAACATCCAAAAATATAAAACCAAGCTGCTTTGGATCAAAACATCTATGAAATAATTTATAAAAAACACACAGCGGTTGTTATTAGAATAATTATTTGTATGTGCATACAGATTGGGGGGGGGGGGCTCTGTGTGTTATGAGTTCAGTGGTATGGTACAGCTGCGTGTGTGTCTACGCAGCCACATCGGGGTGGGGGCCAGCAGATCCGGTCCAGACAGGGGTTGGTAGGTGTTTCGGGGGGGGACATTTTGACATCAGTCATCTTGTTATCGGGACAACCTCGCAGATCGTTTTCTGGTTTCACACACTCCGGGTGTCCCTGCACCTCGCTCGAGCTTTCTGCGGTACCGCCTGACCCAGCGGAGTGGGTGGCCCATTCCTGAACACAGGCTCTAGCACGTCTGGGCGAGCTCAGGTCTGCCGCTTCCTCCTGGGTCGGCTGAGCCAGCATGCCGGGTATGGTCACCTTCAGGCCCAGACCCGTGCCACCGGAGCCAGCCCAGTCTGGTCTCATCTTCTTAGCCATGCTGTCAGGTCGCTCAGAATCAACACTCCCACGCTTGCTTAGGTTGAGGGGCAGCAGCTGCTCTGGTGCCTCAGGCTGGGGGCAAGAGGGTCTGCAGACCTTGCTGAGGTCCTGGGCCAACAGCTTCCTGGTGAAGGAGTTCAGCTCGGAGGTCCCCATCCGGGCCCGCATGAGCTTCCGTACGTGCAAGTTGTCGAGCGGAATGATCTGGAATGATCCCACTGGACTCCTGGCATCAACTGGTCCTCCAATCTGAGCCCCGCCGTTTTCGGCGGGGGTCCCCGCTTTGGCCTGGATGAACAGGACAGGGGGCCGGAGGGTGGAGCCCAATGGCTGGGGGGCAGGGCTGAGGCACTCCTCGCCACTCAGCCCCAGGTGGGCCTTGAATAGCTCGAGGGGGTGGAAGCCTTTGTGGAGGGAGAGGGGTCCGAGAGCCAGCTCAGTTTTTGGCTGAAGGGGGGGTAAGGATGCAGGCTGCACCCCCCCCACCGCCCCGTGGGCTGCTGCATCTGGTGCCGAGGGGACTCCATGCTGCAGCGGCACAGGGGGAGGCTGAAGGGGCGTGTCCTGGGGGGGCGTGTCCAGGGAGCAGGGGGGAGGTGCCTTCGGGGGGGAGCTCCCCACCTGCCGGGCTTTCGCCGTGGCTCGAACCTGCCGCCGGTTTGGTCGACCCCTCCTCCGAACCTCGACACCCTTTGCTCCCACCTTGCCCTCCTGCAGGAGAAGGGAAGAGAGATATAGAAAAAAAAATGCTGATTTTCCAGAAGGTCAGATGATTCTCCTGACCGTATCCCAAACCATTGCAGGATTCCTACAACAAATGGGTGGAGGATATTTCTACTTCTGGAACTCACAGACACAGATATAATCTTCTAGACTCCCCATAGAACTATTCTGTGCTAAAAAGCACCACCACACCCGTCCCAGAACCATCATGGCCGCCTGGACCCGCCCACCTGACAGGGTGAGCCGCCAACTCTCTTCTTGTGAACGACAGGGGGCGCCCTCGCCTTCTGCTGCTCGCCGCTCCCACACGGAGCCGCTACTGGGGCCCGCTGGGGCCCTGGTTTCCCTCCTCCGCTTCCAGTTAAATGCTGCTCGTAGGCCAGCATGAGCCTGTAAGGAAAAACACGCGTCAAACATGCCAAGGTCACTCTGCACAGCTCACGCTGAGCTGCTTCGGGGTGTAAGGCTTGTCCTTGGGGGTTGGGCCTCCTGTTCAGGCCTCGAGTGACATTGGAAACATCAAATGCAGAGCAAGAAGCTGCGGTGCGGGGGAGGGGGGGCATATCCTGTGGCCCCTGAGAACCAGATTCGGGAACCCCTGTCTATAAATAGGACAGATAATTAACTATTAATTGGACCAATTAGGCCGGAGAGGATTGACTGGGAGTGAAAAGCGGCAGACAGGCAGATCGCCAGGGACCAGGATAAGCAACTCTGAAATAGATCGCTGACAGAGGGCTCAGAGTAGAGGGGGAGGCTCGGATTGGGAGTGGCTAGGGGCGGGGCCTGGTCAGGGATTGGCTAAGGGCAGGGCCTGGTGTGGGGGAGGCTTGGATTGGGAGTGGCTAGGGGCGGGGCCTGGGGAGGCAGAGGCTCGGATTGGGAGTGGCTAGGGGCGGGGCCTGGTCAGGGATTGGCTAAGGGCAGGGCCTGGTGAGGGAGGGGCTGCATTGGGAGTGGCTAGGGGTGGGGCCTGGGGAGGTAGCGGTCAGGGGAGGGGCACTCGGATGATGCTAGGGGAGGGGCCTATGTAGCTGGAGGAAGGAGTGTGGCTGGCTCTAGGAAGGAGTGGCTATGGGTGGGGCCTTAGAAGGGGGTGGCTGGAGGAGAGACTGTGGGCAGGGCTGGGAGGGCTGGGAGAGCGGCCGGCGTAGGGGCAGAGCGGCAAGGCTGGCATCCAACGCTCACTCACTTCTCATAGTGCCTCCTAGTGCAGGTGGCAGCGCTGGTGCTGCCCGGACTCCCCCCCAGCTCATTGTACACGCGCTTCCAGAGCCGCTGCGTGGTCACCTGCAGACAGCGTGGCAGACAGCATGGCAGACAGCGTCAGCGCGTGTGGATCCAGTCGCACCCGTCGCCATGTCTACAGGCTGAGCTATAGCTGTACTTCACAGTCATTTTCAGGCCTCATCCAAATGCGTGCAGGTCCTGAAATAAATCCTGTCTGTTTATGTGACTGTAGCCATACGGTTCCTGTTAGGGGAAACTGTCCCAGACCCTGAAGCATTCTGCCGCCTCAGCTGGATCAGGCAAAGTCTGAGATCGGATCACCAGCGAGGTGCATGGGGGGCCAAGGGCCCGGCAGAACCAGCCCACATCCCAGGCATCACGGGTAGGAGCACAAGGAGTACAGGAGCCTCCCAATTTAACCCCTTTTTTAATATAACACAATATACTCTCAAACATGGGCATAAATTATGGGGGGAGATGGAGGTTCTAACCCCCCCCCAAATAATGAAAATCAGTCAATTCAATCCCCCAATGCTCACCCCAGAGTTATGCCCTTGCCCCCAAATATACTTTTTCCTCAAATGATGAAGTCACATATCAATAGAACGCATTGCATTCTACGCAGTTTTTACTTTTTTTCCCCAACAAAGAAATAAAATTTAAGTAACTTTAAGCAAGTTTAACCCACGTAGACGGGCACGACGGTGCCCGACCACGTTACTAAGAGGCATGAAGACATCTCAGGCTCCCTCAGAGGAACGTCCAGGTTTGACGACAACGTGGTACTCACTTGCTCGTAACCTCCGAGCCTCTTGACGATGGAGTAGAGCAGGAAGAGGTCGACTGTGGAAACAGAGGCACGTCACCCCCTCAGCAAAGGGACATCTTTAAATAATAAGCACACAGGTTTATGGGTAACAGATGGTGAGAAATCTATTCTGGCTGGGGGGGGGGGGGGGGTCACCCTCCAGTAAGAGATGCATGGAGGAGGGGGGGGGGGGGCAAGGAGGATGACTCACTCTTCTTAAAGCCCAGATTGGGTACTTTGTTGATGGGTGATCCTCTACTTTCCATGAAGAGGTAGAGCTGGTCCAGAAAGGGCTGCTCCTCGGGGTGGGGGAGCCAGCCCCCCTCCCATGGCAGCTCCACACTGCCCATAACGCTCTCCTGCCGAGGGGGGGGGAGGGCACAAGCACGGTCAGGGACACCCGTCACAGAGCCCAGCGCACCGACAGTGGGTCAGGACCCTATTCTCTAGTGTTCAGCTGATACATTAACCCAGATCTCAAAGCTCAGGAACAAAGTCAAGCCAGGATATCAGAACAAATTTTGCAGAATAATCCGAATTTGTCAAAGGATCCTCTATCCATGAGTTTTTTTATAAGATGTGGGACACGAAAGAATCTTCCTTTGGTTTCAGATCAGCTTCCCTGTATGAACCTACATCCATCCGGTGTTCTAACCCAAGTGATATGCAGTTAAAAAAAAAATGCATACAGACCTTCATTTTGTCGATCCAGGAAGCTACCGAATGGCTGTGGTTCTGAGATTCGGGGCCCTTTCCGTCACGGCCCCGTCGCTTGCGGGGTCGGCCCTTCAGGCTGAGTGAGGTGCACCCTGGGTAAAAGAACCACAGAAAAAGTTACAAAAACAAAAAGACCGACAGACAAATACGGAACCTCATGCTCAGTCAGCGGTTACCATGGACACCACGGTTAACGAAACATTATACCAACTTAAAATAAAATACAAATGGACACGGTTACTATGGCAAGTAGGACATCCGAGCTGGAGGTGGAAAAACATTTTTAATTATAAATTCACACAGTCTCTGCCTGGTAACAGCACCATCATGATCACCAGACTGAATATGCCCCCCAACCCACCCCCCAATCACACATACTCACATGCCTCAACCCTCATTTTATTTTTAAATCCCTGTAACAGGGGGGACACCTTCCTTTTTCCCCCCATGCAGACGGTAATTAAAAAGCTTAACATTCCCTAAAATTTAAAACAGCCTGACAGTGAAAAGATAAACTGTGTAAAAGCCACGGCACACTTTGGGAATTAGAATCCAGCACCGTCTTTCATGTTTATTAGTGACGGGACTATCTATGGGCAGAGTCAGGGCTATAGGATCGCTGGTCCTAGCTGAAAGCTGATTGGCCCCTGGAGTTCCACATCCCCTGTCACTCACCAATTCAAAACGTATCATTGGCTAATGATAAGGTCAGCCCCTCTGTATGAATTATAGCCCCTCCTGAGTCCCGGCCGGCGTCTACGCACCCAGCCGGGTCCACACACTGGCATTGCTGTCCAGCGTTGGGTGGTTGAAGGTGTCCCGGCAGTAGAGCACCCGCGTGTGGCGCAGAGCCGCCCGGATCCCGCCCAGGGCCAGGAGGTGCGGGTCCAATGGGGCGGGGCCAATGGCCCAGTCCTGCATTCGGCGCTGCAGCGAGCGGAAACGGCAGTACTGGGGGTAGCTGAGCACCTTCACGCGCCTCTGATCCTGGGACTCTGCTGGGAGAGAAGAGCCCACCCCTCATGAGTGCTGGGACCAGACCAAACAACCACCTGATAAGGGTCGCGACCCACACACTCTGATCCAAACCCCCCCCCCAACGAACCCAAATTTTTTCTCTCTCCAACTCAGCCTCAGTTATCAATTCATTAACTCATTAATTAGTCCACTAAGAGGTCATTTTAGCTCTTATTTCAGTCTTTCATATGAATAACAAGATTCTGCACTCAAACCTCAGAAAAAAAAAAAAAGTCAGAATCATGCTCCACATACCGTCAGCCTTGTTGTCTTGTGGGTCGAGGCTTTTGGACGACTCGGCCCCCCCGTCCAGGCCGCTCCTCACGCTGGGATTGTAGCCTCTCGCTTTCCAGCCTGCCGGCTCAGGACACGCCCACTTGACCAGGTCTTCCACGCGGATCACGATCTTCCTCGACACGGCCAGCACCTCATCCTGTGGGGCAAAACCCAGCCCGCGTTAGAGCTAACATCGCGGCAGAGGACAGATCACCAGAAGATTCTGGGTTTGAAAAAGCTAGAGTCGTTCTATTGTAGCATTTAATAGGATATAGACTGCACAAGTGAATAAAATTCATAGCACCTCACCTTAACCAACTACAATAATACAGCTATCAGGCAATACAGTATAATCCCGTTATAGTGGACTCGCTTATAACGGAATATCGTCTATAACGGACAAACAATTTGGTCCCCAGGGCCGCTTTTAGCTGTAGTTTTGTTCGGCTATAACGGACATTCAGCTCCGCCTACAAGGCGCGTGGCGTGCCGGTGATATCCAGCGCAGATACGGAGTCGGGATTATTAATAGTCACGCATCTGGTCAGGTAAAGTTGGATTACTACATGTACAATATAATAATCTATACCACAAGTGTGTCTGGTGGGGTGTGGCATGAGTAAATGGTGTCCTGTAGTTGTGTTCTGGCCATACAGCAACTCTGGATATAACGGACTTTGGGTATAATGGACTGTTTTGCCAGATCCCTTAAAGTCTGTGATAATGGGATTGTACTGTACTCCTCTACAAAAAAAGTCCAAAACCTCTTTTGAAATTCTTGTAATTGTAATAAGACTCCAAAATGATGGTTCTGGGAAGATACTCTATAAGCGGAATGCACTCCAAACACATGCAAAACAAACGTGGCTCCGAACAAACTATCATCTGACGACGGGGTCAAACGTTCGAGCAAAACATTCCCAAAAAAAAAAAAAAACTGCTGTTTAAAACAAAAAATAAAATAGCGACTCAGCTGAACACAATTTTAAGTCCTGAAAGCCAAGAGATCAGCATCAGTAATTCAGAGTAAACTGACTGATGGAATGATGAATCTTACCTAATAATCTAATGTACTGGAGCAAATATTTAAACCAGGCAGAAATATGCAAAAGTTTCACAAAGCCATTTTGAGTTGCCATGGTGACAGCTTTGCGCAATCCGCTACAGCTAAACTCCAGCCCAATGCTGGGATAACGCTCACACTAACTCCCAAGAAGTAGTTATTTAAAAAAAAAAAAACAACTGCATAATTACAGTGCAGCCAAACACAGGACAGTGGGAGATGTACACATCCAAACTGCAGAGAATGAACTGCAGTCGAGTTTGTAATAATCACCTTTAACAGTAACTAGCGTTTCAACATGCACACAAATACCCCTGGAGGCTACAGCATTGACAAAAGTGTAAAACACAGAACTTCATTATTTACACTCATCTCAGGATGGGAATTGTATTTAAAAGGATAACACAGTCACCCCGACATGAGAAAGGATGAAAACATGAGCTGTTCGTGGTATTTTCTCAGAACAGAAACAGATTTCCACCAGAAAAATTAACTGGGAGGTTCATTTTCAGGCAGGGTTCTGGCAAATAAAATGGAAAGGAATTTTTATGCTGTTCTGAGGGGCGTTTTCCCTAGTTATCGCTCGTTCCGTGAGCGGCGCCAAAGTGTGAATGTTTCCTATTCACGATGGCCTTTATCGGCTTGTGTTTTTGTTTGCCAGACACAGTACATGTCTGAAGGACTTTAGTGAGCGTTAAAAAGCCATAACTACAGACCTGGACCAAGTGATCTATATATAGCCAAAATACTTTAAAATAAATTCGAAATTCCTGCCATTCTCCAATCTTTAACAACGGCCATAGATATGTCCTGCAAAGCGTAACAGCCATGTCAGCTCCGTTGAGGTGAAAACTACCGGATTCTCTTCTCTAAACAAGCTGCGCACTTTTCCTTGCCATACAGAACACTGGGAGGTATGTACTATTCGCTGGTTCCCACCTGCAGCGCTGGAAGCGCCTGGCGGACAGCAGAGGGCGCCATAGAGCAAGACTCACAATCAGAACTCTCACCTATGTCACATGTGACAGACAAGGCCTCAGCACTGACGCAGGTATCGACCCTCACCACACGGCACAGAGATACCCCAGACACCAACTTTCAGCATTATCTTTACACTTTTTTCCCCCAAATCGCATTAAACAAACAAACAAAACAAACGAAATCAAACAAAACTCAATGCTCAAAAACTTTACACAATAATAAATCAATTTGAAGATTTCTGAATTCATATTTTTAATGGTTGAGACAAGTAATTGGTGTTTTTTGTTTCTGGACTGAAACGCCTTGTTACGAAGGATGTGAAATTAGACACTGGGGTGAGTCTTCCAAGGGAGCCCCCCACCCCTCCAGTCCGCACAAACAGACACAGACACACACACAGGTTTGTAATTATATCTTTGTGGAGACTCTCACATTTTTAAACACTGAGCTGCGAACATCTGTTACCTGCTGCTCCCCGCAAACCATCTGCAGGTGTGAAATTACGCGGAAAAACCATAACAGAAAAAAAATAATAACATGCCCAGAATGAAGCGGGTCATATTCCTGTCATATCACACATTCGGGGGAGGGGGGGGGCATGCAGCAGAGGTTATGCAGAAGAATGTTGTTCACCTGCTCAGCGGCACCTGTCAATGAGCAGATTAGATTTATATAAATTTCAGTTATTTATCAGACAGCTTTAGTCAAAGCGATGTATGACTGAGATAGCGGGCGGGGTCAGACAGTCCCCTCACTCAATGGCGACATCACTCTGCCAACCCTGGAATTTGAACCAGCAGCCTTCTGATCACAGGGACAGCAGCCTAAAACCACCAAGCCACACTCACTGTGTGTGTGTGTGTGTGTGTGTGTGTGTGTGTGTGTATATACATATATACACACACACACATACACACACACACACACATACACATACACATACATACACACACACACACACACATACATACATACACACACACACACATTTGCTGTTTGCTGTTAGAGGACGTTACTTGGATGAAAAATTACATTTAAGGTACTTAAATGATGAACAGACTGTGTTTGTTAGCAAACAATAAATTATTAATAATAATAAGAAGAAGAATGCCTGCTGACCTCCCCATGCTCTCCCATGCGCCCTTTTGGTGTGTCTTCAGGTAGAAAGTAGAGCCTTGAACTGGCCAGCTGGTGGCGCTGCTCCCGGTCCTCCCAAAGCAAAGTGAGCTCAGCAATGCACGCGGGTTCATGGGGCGCACAGCGTACGAAGTAGAACTCCCCGAGCCTCCACACCGCCGCTCGGCGGCCATCCTGGGCACTGCAGGTGAAGGACTTGTAGAAAGCGAAGGAGCCGCGCAGGCAGCAGGGGGCGCCCAACCACTGGGCGGCGAGGAACATAGTGATAAGTTAGGGGCGATTCAAATGCCAAAATACCCCGTATCACAGGATATGACACTAAACTGTAATTATGACGATAATGCATGGTTATTACTATTAATAAAAATGTATAACATTCCTAAAAGAATGGCCTGAAAATCCCATTAAAGTAAATATTAAAGTATAATTAAACGCCGATGGGGTATCATTTTACGCAACTTTTTAAAGAAGCGTTCCATACGTTTCATTTTAACCACTGTTGCATACCTAAACGCAACTTAAGTTGCTAAACAGTCATTTGTTCTGTCGCCATCTTTCCATTTATTACGGATTTATACGGAGCACACTGTTCACAAGCTTTTTCAAACTAAATAAAGAACGAGGGGAAACTAGGTGAAAATAATCGGGACATTTCTTTTTAATTTAATCATCGGTCGAGCCCTGCCTATCTAAACAAAACACGTTTTTGTTCCGGGAATATAATATGCTGAACAAAGTATAAATTGTCAAAAGCAGAATTTGATTGAGCCAGCAGGGAGACAACTTTCAGGTCGCACATTCACAGACCTCTCCACACACTTCCCATGACGCAAGTTAACATTTAAATCATTAATACTCACAAACGGCGATTTAAACCATACGTTTCTGAAATATCCCGTATTCGTCACAGTTTGTCAACAATGACAGGAACATGCGGCCATCTTTAGATCGCTCCACACTATGCAAATACCTCCCGTCCCTGCCATCCATGCATTTTCCCCAATTCAGCCATTGCATGCATTTCATCTGCATTGAAACGGCAGAAAATGGACAGAAAAGAAATGTCGCGCCCTTGCAGAATTTCCACATTACAGAAACCCATTCCAATGTATTAAACTGCTTAAGACAGCGACAATCTATTTTTTTGCCACATAAGACTAACAGTGAGATGAGTAATAATATTTTAAAAATAGTTTTTAAAAGTATATTTCTAAAAGTAAATATGTATTCATAGTTTCAATATTAATATATAATTTACGCATAGCCCTAGTTTTATTAAAGCTGCTTGCCAATCCGCGATGTGTTCACATATAAGCGAGCTTCACTTTTTCTTTTTCATTTATAAAATCTTCCACAAAATATGGCAGAGAAACCTTCACATCCATGTAGAAGAGTAGGGCCCACTAGCGGCGAGGCGAGGCAACGCCAGTGTTTAATAAAACTACTAAATATTCGTTTTGTAATATTCGTAAACATGGGCGTTTTTAAGAACTTAAGTTGCCTTCACTGTGCTGTGGTGGTCGTGGCATACATTAAATACAAATAAACTAATGTAGTCATAAATTAATGTTTAACATTTACATTTGATATTGTATTTCATTCTAAATATCGTTATATAATATCATCAAAAATGCACAAACAAAGAATTTTTGAAATCGTAATCTACTATTCAGAAGATATTTGGCTTAAAAAACAATACGATACAATTTAATAATCAAATATCACTTTTAAAATTGTTCTTTATCACTAATCAATTATCTTTAACAAATTATCAGAAAAAGGAAACCTAAATGTGAAACTGAAAACAGTGTTTAAAGGAATCTGTCAGTCCTGTAATCGTAAATGCAAGTGCAAAGTACAGTGTTTCCCTCCTCAGCATTCCTTTTGACTTCAAATATACAAAGGACAGAGATTTTTTTTTTTTACAAAACCTCAGGGGAAAAAACGACCATTGGTAGTATACTTAGTCAATTACTCCACCTACCAACCGTATTTCATTTTTTTAAATATGGAATTATAAATTGCATCGCCATGTAGCAACGTTTATCACAATATCAAATCATCTAAAAGGGCACGTCTAGTTGGAAAAATAGCAATAGGAATATGTAAAAGTTCAAGCCGCACTAAAAATGTATTTAGTATTATGTGATATGTGGGGGTGGGGGTAGAATGAGGACCTAAGTTGTCGACACGACACACAAAGAAATTAATCATTAACAGAAATATATGTATTGATATATCGGTATCAGATTAAAAAGTACCGGGTACTTCGTTATTTTTATTAGTGTCACTACGTATAAGCCGGTTCAGAGAAAAAATGATATTACGTTTTTTTTCCCCCCCAAAATTCAACTCAGCGTGTACAATTTACAGTTTCACCAAGTAGTCGGCTTATAGATTGAATTACAAATTCGACATATGTTACTTAAATAACTTTTCTCCATTATTGGGTAAATAATTATTGAAGAAGTTACCGAACATTAAAAATAATAATAATAATGACGGCGACGTAAAGTTTCTGGTAAACCTTTGACAGCGGGTCAAAGCGAGCGCGGCCGTGTTAAACCCGAAAAGAGGCATAAAGTCAGCTTTTGCTTTACCTGGATTGCATTCTGCTCCATTGCAGTCCGACATTCCCTTACCCCAATCCAGGGGCTCCTATCAAGTTACACAGCCGGGTACTCACCGGCACGCAAACAAATGCAGCAGAAGAAAAGCCTTCTCTTTCTCCCCCACTGTCTCTCTCTCTCTCTCTCTCTCTTTTTGGAAAAAAAAATAGGACAGGATCTAGGTGTGGCCAAATTCAGTTTGCAAAAGTACAGCTTATTGATAACGAGAAGGCTGCTATTATTTTATTTATGTATATAAAAAAACACGTTTCCCCCGCAGCACCCTTAAATCGCCAGTGACATTTTAAGGACGGTTTGCACCCGTTTAATAAACTGCTATGCGATGCGGGCAAGTTGCGCGTCTTAATTTCTGAAAAGGCTCGTATTAAAGCGCTGTGCCGAATATTGCGGCTGTAAGCGCACTGAGCATGCGCGAGACGGCTGCATGGCGACTCTCACAAGTTTTTATTCCGCAGATCGGCCGCGACTCCCCCCCTCTGCCGCTCATCACAAAAGAAGCGAGCTTCCTTGTGAGTACGTACTGCGTGGTGACGGTGCTCCATTAAGACTTTATCCTCTAATTCTCCATTAACTCAGCAGTAGAATGTGCCGTGTGAAAAAAACAAAACAAAAGTATAATCGTCCGTACCAGCCTTTTGTGCGTTTGCATTATTAATATTGTAAAGCTTACTGTTACATGCAGGGTGTATTTGATGTATCTGCAATGCTTGGACGTTTTGATCGTTCCCTGCCCCCCCCTTCCCCCTCAAGGACTACATGCAAAGATACTGATCCGTCGCCGGTGCGGGCTTATGGTGAAAGTATGGACTGACAGACATTTTCCGAACTATTCCTGTACATATAGGATGGCAATTTGTCCATTTTTGTTTCAGTGTATGTTTCACGTCTAAGCCTCTGGTTTAGTTCTGTTTTAGTAATGCCGCATGATATTTTTTTGTATTGAGTAATTAAGTTATGGAAATGATTCCAAACGGGGTGGATGTTTTTAATGCATCATGGGCGAAATCCCGTGCAGCTAAGAGTACCGGTGCGGTCCAGACGGCGAAGCAACGGTGAAACGGTAGCAGGAAATCAGCCCTCCGGTCAGAGTGACTAATGTTGTCAACAGGTGGCTGCAAGGATCACACGGGCCGGGCTGCTGTCTCCGCGGCCTCCAGCTCTTTGCATTAAGTAATCTTCTCTCGTTTTTTGTTTCCGTAAAAAAAAAGACTCAGGCACATTTTTTTATGAGCTATACGGTATGGACTGATTAGATTTTATAATTCTTTAAAACTTTGCTGATGCCATAAAATTTTAATACTGGATTCTCATAAATATCCTAAAAAAAAGCCTGATATGGTTTATTTGAATGAATGCTTACAAACTAGATGCAAGCTATACTACAGGAGATTGAATTTCTAAGTGAGATTTGTACAGAAATCGTGTCAGTGGTCAAGTAAAAGCAAGGATTGTGAAACCGATATTCAGAGCTTAAGCTGTTGGATTGTGACAGTAATTTTTTTTTGGAAAAGAGAAATGACCAAAATATCACTCAGTGACACAGAATGTCTTGTAGCATGTGTGTCTTAAGGTCCTTTTTTATACCTTAATCCAGTTTATATATATATATATATATATATATATATATATATATATATATATATAAGCTAAAATATTGGGTACAAGTGCTGTCATTCAGCCTGGACGGGATTCAAGCCTCACGCCTTGTCAGATAGCATTAGCCGTTAGCCATGGTGGCAGTGATGAAGCGCCATGCGAGGGGTCCCCTGTGCTTGATGGTGACACTGGCATTAAGTGACAAACAGCTCAGTGAGGTTGGATGCGATGCCATGAAAACTGCGAGCGCTGATGCCAGGCGATGAGACATGGATGTATAAATGGCTAATCTTCAGTGCAAACCGTAATGAAACACTTGTTGCCGTGCTTGGCTGGTTGTCACTGAGTCTGTCTGTTTATCGCACAAATATTTGTTGTGCCAGTGACAACTCAGAGGCAGAAAAATCCCATAAATAACATCTCGACTATATACCAGCCAGCACACCTTCCTGATGATCTCTCACTGACTTGTCTAATACTAAAAAAAATACTCCTTTGCTTGTCAATATGGTGAGACTTTCAGCTACTTCACAGTGCTGCTACTGAACTCAAATATATCTTTTGAGATCTGACAGTACTGGAGATTCGATCCAGCTTAACCAGAATGAGCCTGCGCAGTCCGGATTTAAATGCAGGTTAAGAGTTAATCAGTTAACCAAAAACTTATAGTTGGAGCCAAATTAACATGATCAGAGGCCAAGAGAATTTGATAAGGAGGGACCTTATGAGCAGAGGCCCCTGGGCTTTAGCCCGGGTGAGCCCGTGCATCAAAGCACATCTGGTGTAGAAGAAAACAACGTATTAACATTAAAAAGCTAAACTCGTAGCGTCACACATGTCCTGCTACAGATGGCCTTGGCGATCTCGCGGCGTAGGCAGCCCGCAAAGGTTGCCACAGCACTCTTCCTCGCTACTCTCCCACCCACCAAAACGGGCCTTAAGACAGGAGGAGGGGGTGGGCCCCTCCTGAGGAATCTGGCAGATAGGTCCTACTTGGGTCCTGAGTCCCTAAGCTTATAGCGAGTCACTCCTTAAATCAAAAGGTCGTTTCTTATATTACAGAAAAGTACATTACAGGTCAAAAGTTTTTGCACACGCATTAACATTTACTGAAGCATACTCAATATGCATTGCTAACAAATACATTTACAGTATGTCCTCCATTTGAGCACCTTTATTAGCAAGAAATGTCGGATCTTCGTTTAATCAAGGTAACAGGTATAACAGCACAAAAAATTCAAAGCATTCTTTCTACAAGGGGCATTAAACACTGTTCTGTGTTATGGGATGAAATGTTTAACTAGTGCATTTAAAGTTAAAGGACAGCCTAGAGTTTGACTACGCCATCGACACAGAACCAGTTAACAGGATGTCTGACATGCACTGTTACATACTCTTTCCATGTTATAAAGGAAACTGGTTTTATTTGTTGATATTTTCATTTATAGCTGTTCACTGAACTTTCCAGTGCTTAACAAGAATAAAAAATCTGCAGTTTATGAAATAAATGGAAAAGTGGTAAATTGCTGTGGTGTGAAAAAGCTTTTGACTGCTAGTGTGTATATGTACTAAACATCGACGGGAATAGAGGAGGCCTTACATCTGTTTTGCTATTGTGCTGATTGTGTGACCTCGAATGAAAATGAACTGGTGACCAATTGAGTTCACAGGAATAGTTTCCCTGTTGTAAAGGATGGTGCTTTTCAATTAGCATAGTTGAGGTAATAGACTTTGGGTTTATTCCGGATATTTGATAATGCTTGGAGTACTTTTTAAAATCCAAATAACCAAACAGGTGGGATTTCGGCCTAATATTGAAGCATTTATTTCTGCTGTTGTTTTGCAGTGATAACACGATGCTGAATCAAGAGCATTACACCGTCAGTCAATCATAAATGATCTTGTCCTCTGTAGCACAGTAGTGTGATTAACATGGGGCTCTGTGATGCCTTATCTGTATGGAGACAACTGTAAGCCCAAAGCCATAAGATGGAATTCCTGGCTAACACTAAATTAGCGTTTAGTGCTAATCGCTCTTCAGCATTTCATTACTCTAATAGCTTTTGGGAACATTACATTATATTTATCATGCTGTTTTATCCAAAGCAATGTACAGTTGAGAAAACAAGGTCAGCCAGTCCCTGGGGATACGGGCCGCGCTCAGGGGTCCAAGGACAAAATTGCCGTGTTGATTATGGGATATGAACTGGTGACCTACTGATCACAGGCATAATCTAGTTCCCTGACCAGGAATTGAACCCTGAGCTGTGGCGTTAAGAGTGCCAAATTCTAGCTGCTAGACCATCAGGGACGCTATGGTGGTGAGTGACTCAGCAGGCTCGGCCCCTGTGCCTCACATCGGAAGGTTACTGGTTCAAGCCCCAACCTCACACATCTGTGGGCCCTCGAGTAAGTCCCTTAACCCCCAGCTCCAGGGGCACTGTGAGCTGACTGAGCATGTGCTGTGATTGCCCAAACTTGCTCTCTCACCTGTCTTGCTTGAGGAGAGCATTATGGGATGTGGGGGGATTTCCCCATGGGGATTAATAAAGTATCACTACTACAGTATTGCTGCGCCATTTTTCTGAAGTTCTCCAGTCAGATCCAATCTAACCTGTCCTCAGGCGTGCAGAATACAGACAGTTATCTGGAACAAAAAGCCCTGTTAACCGCTCATCCAGACTCCGTTTCTTGTGAAGGGAAGTGTATCCTCCTTCCTCTGGTTGTGATTCATGTGACTATGAATGGTTATGCCTAGGTTCTCCAAAAAGACATCTGTGTTGCAGCTCAGTGATTAATAATAATAATAATAATAATAATAACAATGATGATGATGATGATGAAGAGCGACTAAAGCTACATCAGACAATTAAGCTCAAAGAGCATTTCTGACTGCCCTGCTCTATTGACGACATAAATATATTTTAAGGTATTTATATATATATACACGCACACAACATATAATTGGGCGAATGTATTTCTACTGTTAAAATATAGTCTGTGACTACTCCGTTATTCCTGAAAAAAACTTCTAGAAGTTTCTATTCATGAAAGGGGCATGCAATTGATTGCGCAGCAGTAGTAGTAGTAATAATAATGTCAGCGAACAAATATGAAGTCAATTTAAACTAGGGGTACTTGGACAAGTTACCTGGCTAACTAAGAAGCCCTGCTTTCTGAAAAGGGCCTCGGTGAAACTGCACCAGACACAAGCTGAAAATGTTTTCTCTGGCTGCTCTGTTCTCTTATTGACGTCAGCGTAACTTAATGTGTTTACAGGTTTACACTTGGCATATCAATATAAGTTGACAAATGTCTATTCATATAATGTAAACGGTGTCTACTCCTACATTATTCTGGTACAAACT